AACTGATCATTTCTCACCTGTTATTACTGACTCAGACTGTGCTATCAGTTCAGTTCAAAACAATTCAGGCAGTATTTATTTAGCATCTACTGTTTACTTAATGCTATACTAACTGCAAGATCATTATTAAGAAAACTCATTTTCCCAATACCTAGGTGAAGAGGAAGAGACTAGGAAAACACAGCCACTATAATAGCATAAGAAAACATAATGGAGGAGCCTAAAAAAATTAATATCTGCCTAAACAGGGTAGGCCTCACCAATTTTCCCGTATTCTATTAGATAAATATGAGGGAAAAAAACTGATGACAAATCTGGATATCCATGATCCAATGTTATCTCTAAACCCACAGATAATCAAGAAGTCAGCCAAACCAGCAATCTGTCCATACACCGCAGTAATTGAGAGGTGTCTGCCATCGTGCTCGCATAGGGCATCTTGTGCCCTTATCTGCAGTGCTGAGCACTCATTCATCATTAAACTGCAGTAGTGTTAACATATGCTGCAGTCGTGCTAATGTTTGTTTTACAATCACCGTTGATCTACTCTTATACCAGCCACGAAGGTGTCAAGTGACCGGAAATAAACTTGAACATAGCACCTAATTCAACCTCCCTCCACCAAACCAGGAAATCGTCCCCCCTCCAAAATCTCAGGGACTCCAATGTAAAACAGTAATCCATATAAAGCCCTATAGATGTACAGGAAACTACACTACCCTGATGAAAATATAGTATTTTTATTTTGTGTCCCATGCCTTCACCCTCTTTGGGTAAACAAATCAACGATGTCAGGCAGTCAGCTTTGATTTTTTCCATCACTCAACCAACCAAAACTTGAAATCACTCATGGGCCAGTTCTTTGCATATTATCCAGACCCAGCGGAGTTAGTAATGGTTCTCCTAGGGGCCACTGACCATCCTTTATCTCCTAGAACTCATAGCCCAGCTGGTGGTCACCTAGCAGAGGAAATGTGAAAAGGGCTAGCTTCACCTGCCTAAATTTCACCTCTGCTAAAAGTTCATTAAGAATACAAAAAACTACGTGATTTGTAGGTGCTCAATATTACCCACTAAAAGGTTGAATTATGAGCAATAATCATAAATAAAAGCAAACGGTAAACCATCACAGAAGGTATTTAGAAGAGATTCAGCATTTTAGGTTGCTTAATCAGTAAAAGGCAGATCAGAAAAAAAAAGACAAAAACTTGTTTTCAGGTTCTTTAATATACAGCTAATTTAATACTAAATAAATATTTATTTGAAGTAACGGAGATGCGGTCCTAAATAGGTTTCCCATCTTACACAAGATTCAGCATGAACTAAGTCAAAGGGGGGAATTCTTGTTGTTTAGATTTTCATTAAATCTTTAAACCCATGTGAAAATGCTACAGCAATCACTAAATTTTATTAAGAGTAGAAGACAGGATAACATAAAAGTCCCTGGCTCTTAAGTCTCAACTAGTCCAAACTTCCAATTAAATATTCCTTCACGCAGGGCTGTCCAACCTGCAGCCTGCGGACCACATGCAGCCCAGAATGGCTGTGAATGTGGCCCAGCACAAATTGTAAATTTACTTAAAACATCATGAGATTTTTATTTTGTGATTATGTGTTGCAATGTATTTAATGTGTGGCCCAAGACAACTCTTCTTCCAGTGTGGACAGAGACACAAAAAGGTTGGACATTCCTGCTTTAAAGGAAATAAACTGTACAGGCAAACTACAATTTATTTTAATAAATAAATTTATGGAGAATGGAGATGCTGATTGGGAACAGGCAGTGCTTTTATTATACTCAGAGGTATCTAATTCTGAAATTGTTTAAGACACCCCTTACTTGCCTAAATTTTAAAACCCTATACCAAATCCACCAATTTCTTCCTCAAAACTGTCAAAAGGGAAGTCATTACACATCGGAAAGGAAAGTATTAATGCAAACACGGCAAGGCCATGTCTTTAAAAAATACAATGAATTACTCTATTTTTTACATATCTCTTTTTATTCAAATACCATTCTGATCACTCATGATCCAAGAACATTCAAATAATAAACCGAAAAGAAACGTGAAAGATTGGTCTTCAGATATTATAGCCAATGATGCCACACTTGCCTATTTCAAACCACATCCACACCTCAGTGGCAATCAAAACATTCAGGAGCGCTTCCTTAACTGTGAGCTGTTTAAAGATACCAATTTGAGCACTAGTGACTATTTTTTTTTTAACCTCTGAAAATCTGTAGGGATCTCAGCATGGTTTGGAGGAATCAGCTCAACCATGGCATAGTGCCAAAATGTGGCTGATCAAGACTTCAAGTGACAGCATCTTCACCAGTGAACATAATGGGAAAGGCGGAGTGGGGGCTGGTATTGGGCCATGGTTCGAGGACGGAAAGTCTCTCAATTACTACGTCTTTTAGCTTGAAATTTGAGATCGTGGGGAAATAAATGGCCTTTTTAAAATGATTCAGCAAACATTACTAAGCCATAGATGCTGCTGCTCCCAAGAGACAGTTACTTCCCATGTCAGGTTTAAAATATAAAGCCCTGTCCTAACATGTAATATCTAGTTTCAGTGACCAACAACTACAAACACCACTATAATTTATTTTGCATTCTAAGTCAATTTCAGACTTTAGTCATACAAAAAAACCCACTTAATTTTGGTAAGAATTCATAGCCTCATCTCTGAAATATAAAAGCAATCACAAAACAGCACACAACTTGGACTACACTGCTGTGCAAGTCTCGAAGTCCAACCTAAATCTTTAATGGTAGCCTTACAGTAATTAAAATGCAAGTGTCCCTCAAATAATTTCTACCAGGCAAAAGATTAGGATATGTGGCTTTCTGATTTAAAGGAGATAAAATTTGGCTCCCTTTTGCCCCCCAAAATTTTGAAGTCTTTCTTTAGCGACGAATATTTCATAGCATGTTTCACATTTAATCTGATGGTTTGCAGATTAATTCCTTGCCCTAGGCCTGAGATACAACTCCTGAGAACCAACCAGTTTATGACACTGGTAGAAAATCTGAGACTTACCATAGTCATAGTTGCGTAGGAAAATGTGAGCAGTCAGGTATTCCAGCTGAAACAATGAGGTCAAAGCTCATTTCAGTGTGAGCTTAAGTAGTTCTCTGCAGAAAGATTTTGATTGGGGATGCAAAGTACTAGCCTCAAAACTGCACGCTGGCACCTCAAGAACCGCTGAAAATTCTACTGCATGCCCTGGCTTCCTGGGTCAACACTGCTTAATTACTACTCTGATACAATGCAGATTGCTGTTAGCAAAAGAAAAGCAAAGGGGGCTTTTAAACCAATACTTGGGTTGTTTGATTTAAGTGTTCATATTCTCAGAAAAAAATTGATGTCAACATCTTAATTTTAAGGTAATGAATTTATAATGAACCAGAGGCCAGTTGTTTTCCACTGTAAGAGTGCCATGTGAAAAGAGTGCCCTTTTCCCAAATATTACAATTACCTCTTGCCACCTTTTCCTTTTTGCCACCCACAAACCTGAAATCCCAAGAATCTATGGGAAATAGAACTATGAAGTAGAATATTCTTCTAATTTTTCAGGATAAATGTGAGAAACCAATTTTAGTCACTTGCTGTATAGCAAAGCATCCAATACAAGCCAATGTCTATGGATTTCAAGACCCTTGATATGTACAACCTATATTGCTCTGTGCCCCAGATAATCTGCTCCAGTGTCACAATATATGTTTATGGGTGAGGTAAACATTTAGAGAAACGTTAATGCAGCGCTCTTGTGATAACAATTGCCTAAACAGGGATGTACAATCCTTTCTTTTAGCCAGGGTACATTTGTGAAAGTTTCAAATGCAGAAAAAAATGAGAGCAAAACCATCCGATGATAAAAAATGTCAGCAATGCTTTGATCAAGAATAAATTCATTAAAAGAACCAAATAGACAAGTTATGAAACCTATATTGTGAGGGAGGGATGTTGGGAGCGCACAGCACTCAACCGTTTTTCCTGAGGACAGAAAAATCTAAACTTAAAGATGAACCCTTTCTTTCACATTATTGGCAGCAATAAAATCCTATTCCCGCCACCTTATCTTGCAATTAAGGAAGTTGCTACAAATAGCAGCATAGAAGTCACGGTCCCTATTCTGCTCCATTCTTAACGTACCCTCTAGAAGTAAAACAGGTTACTCAAAAGTCGGTAGACAGAAATCGCTTTTCCCTATGCCCAACTCCCTATTCTGCGGACTTGGAAGCGGGTAAACGTGGGCGGAAGAGTCCGGCAGCAGCCTGCTTTTTCTCCCAAGGGTTCAACGGCTGGGGCGTTCGGCGTTCGGCGGCGAGGCTTCAGACGAGACGCTCAGCAGTGGCTGTGCCGCCTCCTAAAGTCTCCACATCCACACAGCCCACCCTGACAATCGCCCTAGCTTTTATGAACCCCTAAAGGTGAGCTTTTCAGGCTGGGTCTCCAAAGTTTGCCTAGCCTCCGATCGTCAATCACCCACCGACCGCCCGGCCGAACCCCGGGCAAGGCTGAGTCCTGCCCTGGCCTCCAGCGCCCTCAGCCCCCAGGGCTTCTGGGGGCCACAGAGACAGGTTTACGTTTACCTCCATGTGCTCGCAGCACAGGAAACAAAAGAAAGCCACCTCCCTGGTAATAAAACGCCATCTTCAACTAATTGGCAAACCGAGGGGCCTCTGGGTCGGTTCCCCACCATCCGTCCCTAGGCGACGCCCCCCACCCTAGTCTCAGGCGGAGTTTGTAACGACCAAGGGATGCTCTGCTTAAATCGTTTGATGGGGGGGGGGGGAATCAGGGACTCTGAGAGCCCTACCTGACTCCCCACCCTGGTCGCCGGGGCAGCGTATTTCAGTGAGAATTAAAAGAGGTGGTAGTGTCTCCCACAGAAGCACTTAATCTTCTCAGAAAACTGTTCTGAGGTACCTAGCGGAGGGGCTGATGAGCTAGCGAACCGGCCCGCGTGGAGCCGCAGCGTGTGTACTTACAAAGCGATTAAAGCTCCGGCGGAACATCGCGTCCAAGGCTGGGGGCGCCAAGCTGGGCTCTGCCGTGCTGTCTGGGAAGGTGCCGTCCACGGAACACACTGCAGCGTGGGCCGGTGGCGCCAAGTGCACTGGAGGGAGGCTAACCCGCCACCAGCCCGCTGCTGCCGCCGCCGCCCTCTTTGGCTCTGCGCGCTCCCCCCCACCCCCCAACGCGCGCGCCCTAGCCCACTCCACACGCCCCCGCCCCTCCTCACTCACGGCCCGCGCCCGCCAGTCCTGGGGTCTGTGGCCCTGTAGCTCCCCCTTATCTGGCCCCCCCGCCGCCCCTCCTCTCCCGCAGCAGCCCGCGGAGAAAGCGAACCCAAAGCGAGAGGGAGGGAAGGCGGAGGAGCCCTAGACTCCTCCTGCGGTGAAGGGACGCCCCTATCTCTCCGCTGGCGCCAGAGTCGGCCCCCCGCGGTCTGCACTCTTCCCCGGAGCAGTGCCACCGCCCGCCCCCCGCCCCCGTTGGCCAGCTCGCGTGCTTCCGCCCCACTCCGGGCACGGGGTGGGGTGGGGACTCTCCGAGGCACCTAGCGCCTCACCTTCCCTCAGCCAGGCACTACTCCACTGTCTTGGTCGCGAGTCACAGTCTCCCCTGCCCCGGCCCTAACTCCTCCGCGGCACCACTTCACTTGCAGCCCCTCCTTGGTCCGCGGCGGCCGCGCCGCCCCGCGCTTTCGTCCCGCACCCGGGCTAGGGAGCCACAGAGCCGCCCACCTGCCCGCCCCGAACCCAGGAGGCAGCAGGTCTGAGAGCAAGGAGTGGCAGGGCACTGTGGAGACCCCAGAGCTAGCAGGGCAAGGGAACTAGTTATGAAAGCCGCCCGTCCTCATCTGGAAAGGCGCGGGCCAACCCACTACCCTCGACTAGGTCCGCTCCCACCTACGTGGCTGTTTTTCCCGTAGTTCTTTCCCTCGTCCTGCTGCCCACCTAAGCCATCTTACTTCCACTTTCTCTACGAGCTTAGTAAAGTCAAGCTTTGTGTCGCCACTGCGCAGCAGGGCGGGATTTCCCTCCTTCCCCACCTCAAGCCCCGCCCCCACACTTCTTCCGGAGCAACCTGGGAGTTGTAGTACAGCCGTACCTCTATGCAGCTTTCTACTGCGGGCTGGGAGCTCCCCCACTCGCCCGTGCAGGGTTTGCCCAGAGGGTTGAAGGAGGAAGCGGCTGAGACCGCTTGGCTGAACCGTGGTTCTCAGCACCAGCTAGATGTTGAGGCCAGGACTGTTCGGTAGATTGCCCGCGATGGGATATATGAGAGGGATAAATAAGACGAAGCCCGGAATGCGGGTAGCTGTCCCTAGGGCGCGAAAATTGTGAAACCCTCTACACCCTCGGCTCCTAATTTAGAACTGGAATTTGCGAAACTTTCAAAATGAGATATGAAAGCTGAGTCTAGAATTGCCCTGAGACTGGGCATTCCAACCCCCCACTCCATGTTTACGGCTTGCCCCGAGGCTGTTAAAGAACTTTCGAATCCCTCTATAAAAGTAAAGAACTAAGTGCATTTACCAGAGCCTTCTGCCGCACCACATTCTTCTGCCAGTCTAGAGCTGAGGACAGGGTCCAGCTACTCAACGGGCTTCCCCTCAGGTGGTGAAGGCCCTGCACTGCTGTCCATAGGGTCTTCTTTTCCTGTCAGGGGTTCATACTCACTTCAACAAACCATTATTGGGCATTTTCTTTGTATCATGCACTGTCGTAGGGGCTGAACGCAGCGACTACTTGAAAGACCTCCTCAGTAGGCTGGTAGCAGTCCAGTCAGGGGATACCTGCTGGGGTAGAGGTTCAAAAAATGGGGGAGAGCAGTATTGCATTTGAAAAGGGGGTGTGGGAAGCTTTTCTGAAAACGCTGAAGCTTAAACTGGACTTTGAAATGTGAGAAGATTATACAGGAGCTGACAAAAGGAGCCCAGTGGGCAAAGCCCAGGATGGAGGGAGAGGGCCGTGAGAAAGTACAGGACAAGCTAAGAAAGAGAACACAAGGCCCTGGCAGACACCCAGGATGTGTGAGCAGGGGCGGTAGGAATGAACTAAACCCCAAAAACCATCTTCAAATATACACTATGAAGGTTGAACTTGATTCTTTGAGTGAGGAGCTGAACCCCAAAGAAGTGCAAATTAAATAGACTTAAGGTATGTTACGAAACTGTCCTTATTGCCAAGAAGTAAAACAATACTTTTCCACTTCTTTCCCTATTGTGGTTCCGTCAGTTTGCTCACACTTGAGGCTATATCTAATGATTTTTGAGGTTTATATTAAATATATATATTAATTAGATATTAGGATGTTTTATTTTATTGCAAATGGATCTAAGCTTTTGCTATCTATTTCAAAGATCTATTTTCAAATAGAGTTTATTTTCTGCCTTTACTTTTATTGAACACAGCAACTAATATAATTTAACTCGCTAATTATTTGTTGAGCATCTACTATGTAAAAGACCCTATCCTAGATGCTGAAATTTGGGGGTGGAAGAAGTTATTGTCATTTGCGGTAGGCCTAAGATTAGAAGCCTTATCAATAAAATGCATCCTTATCAATAAAATAGGTAGTAGAAAATGAATTTAATAATAATAAGTAATATATTTCATATAAAATTTTGTTAAACAAATGAAAAAATTTTGTTATGAATTCAAACAGATAAACTTTAAAAATTAGAGAGTTGGAAATTGTTTAGCAGTGTTCTCTCACACACCATTTTGTGAGTATTATCTCACATGCCGTTCTCATGTTGTCCAGCTTAAAAGCAAACCGTTTAGCATCACCCAAGATACAGCAATTCTGTTTGTCATATTTTCATGTGTTGTTATAGTTTCACTATCTCTATGTCCTGCTAATTTATTTCATCACGACATCTGTATTCATGGGTTTAGACTAATTTGCTTGACTATAAAAATTCTATAAAAATGCAATTCCCTGCAAATCAATATATGCTCAGCAAAACATGAAATTTATGCAAGGTAATTTTTTTTGTCCATATTCAAACTCAACCTGAAATTAGAGTTGCTCTAACACACATCTTTCAGAGTTACTTTCCTCTGAGGTGTTTTTTAAGACAAGAAGCCATTATCCTTGTTCTTTTTAGTGCTTCTTCACAGTTTCTAAAGAAAACCCAGGTGTTGTAGAAAGCTGCTGTCAATGACTATGAAAAGGAAACTTTCAGCCTGCATTTTCATTTGGCCAACTCCGTAAACAGAACTGCAAAAACTAACTTCCTCCAGCCTAAACTGTCAGAAGCCTCAGTATATTTAACGCCAACTCTTGTGGTGTAGCAGCTGACTGCAGCAGAAGCCCCAAGCTCCTGCAGGCAGGAATTGTGAGGAAGCAGTCTTCTGTCCTTTTCACATCTTGACTAGATATAATGCTTACTGTAAGATAAAGGAAAGGGAAAGCGATCTTCCTTGACTATTTTAATTCTGCTGCTCATAAGCGCTTCTTCTCTATTGACCCCCTTGTTCTCTCCCATCTTTTACCTCAACCCCTCAGAAATCTCACCATGGCTAATGGGCAAAACAAAATGTCGGGTACGGGATGCAGTCCATGATCGCGGAGGGGAGCATACTGCTTCTGCGATCAGCCAGTTGGTCAGCAATTCAGGGATCCAGCAGGAAGGGAATGGTAAGAAGGAGTCACTTCCTCCATCTAATACTAAAAAAAGAAAAGAAAAAATTGAAGCTGTTATATCAGCATCTAAATCAGTGCCATCAGCAAGTTGAAGAAATTCAGGTGTCTCTGCTGAGCTTTCAAACATACCTCATAAGACTACATTTTGCCCATTTGAAATTTTTTTCTCCCGATACTGACCTTAATGTTTATTTTAGACCAATTTTACCCATATCTTCCTAACTATTGGCCTCCTCCAATTCATTTTTTACACTGCAACCACAGAAATCTTTGGAAAACAAATCAGATCAAATCATTCCCTTGTTTGTAACTTTTCAGTAGCTTCTCATTACCGTTAGAACAAGTCCCAAATCTTGCTTTACCATCATTTACATGGCCCTGAATTCTCTGACCCCTACCTTCCTCTCTAACCTTAGTGGGCCTACTCTCCCCCTCATTCACCAAGCTCCGCCCCACTTGACACCCTTCTTCCCTTGAGTTTCCAAAGATCTTTCTCCCCTGACAGCTTTTGCACAGGCAACCGTCTCTGCTGGAATGCTTTCACATGGCCTTTGCTATTCATCTTTCAGATCTTAGCTTAAATTACACTTTGTCAGATGAGATCAGGGCTACCTGTTACAGTGCTTCAAATAGCTCATGTTAACGACATTGAGGGTACTGACAAATGAGGTTAGCAATCATGGAGAACAGCAGAATTCCAAGGGCATTGCGGATGATCTAATATTGTTTTGCTTTTCAAAAAGGGGAAGTTGGTGTATTCTAATAATCGTGATGTCAAAGAGATGCACGTTTCTAGAACCAACTATTAAAAGGATAAGGTATTTTATTACAGTAGAAGGGAAGAGGCAATCACTAAGAACCACAATGAAGTCACTGAGATATAGTTGGGCCTTCAAGATTGTGAGAAAATGATTTTGAATTCAGAATTCTACCTCCCCCCCAAACTATATTGGGAAGATAGAGAAGAAGTTAGAAAGGTTATGGCATAGGAAGACAAAAATCTTTCTTTCATAATAAGAAATCAGCTTTTGGCTTTCAGGTCAGAGGAGGCGAAGGTGCAACTTTCTTTGATCATCCCGAATCTGGGTTCGTCTGACATCAGCTGCCTCCACCATGCCACCGAAGTTCGACCTCAATGAGACCAAAGTTGTATACTTGAGGTGCACTGGCGGGGAAGTCAGTGCTGCATCTGCCCTGGCCCCCAAGATCGGCTCCTTGGGCCTGTCTCCAAAACAGGTTGATGATGACATTGCCAAAGCTACCAGTGATTGGAAGGGTCTGAGGATTACAGTGAAACTGACCATTCAGAACAGACAGGCCCAGATTGAAGTAGTACCTTCTACCTCTGCCCTGATCATCAAAGCCCTCAAAGAACCACCACAAGACAGAAAGAAGCAAAAAAACCCCCAAAAAACAAACAAACAAAAAAAACAAAAAAGCAAAACAAAAAACATTAGGCACAATGGAAATACCACTTTTGATGAGATTATCAACATTGCCTGACAGATACGGCA